AGCGTCTCCGTCAGCGTCCAGGCGTCTCCACACATACAGTAAGATCGGATAATTTAACTACAAAATAAAATACCTGCCAACTATATCAAGTGCTTCTCTTATGAAAATATTATCTTTAATCCCCTTTTTGTATTGTTATAGATTATTTGATTTTTGTTTCTAAATTGCATAAAAATTTACTAACTATTTACTTCTTTGTTAATAATTAGACCAATCTTTATTTGTACAAACCTTGTATATTTCCCAGAATTTAAAATGTTCTAAATCAACATATTTATTCTCAACTATTTATCTCGTATTTACACATAAAAGTAAATCACACAAATACACTTGACGCGTTGTCCTATTTAACCAAATCCATCCTAATAAAATCATCTGTCATGTTTGGTTAGTTTCTCACTATAAATATTCAAAATAACGGAAACAATTTGCTATATTTACCAACAATAAAGATTACAGAAATATCGAGGTTAATGATACATTGTAACAAAAATGCTGTGTATACCTTTTGTTTCCCGAGTCCGAAATTATATCATGTCTTACATAATGGTACACAAGCAAGTGATGTACTGGTAGTAGTACTAATAGTTTGTGAGATCTCGCTTAAAAACAAACTTATCTTTGTTTATGCTGTCGTTGTTTACAATACTTGCCTTCCTTATTTATCAGTAGGTACGTTTGATGAGGCGCGTACACAGTCCGAAATTTATAGAAAAAATATTTATCATCTCCTTTCAGTGTGTCATGTCTACTCTTTCACTTTTAAGATTAGAACTTTTCCAATTATTTCTATTGCTCTTTCCGCTATTATTTTTCACTTCATTCTGTCCCAACTGTAGATTTACCTGATAAATGATATATTTATATGAGGATATACTACTTAATGGGCTAAGGACTACTTCTTCTTCTTCCTATGCCGTCCCCATTAACGGAGGTTGGCGACCACATTTTTAAAAGCTTCTCTGTCTTTTGCAACGTGGAATAATTCGTCTACAGTCATGTTTGTCCAGTCTCGAATATTTCGCACCCATGACTTCCTCTTTCTACCTATTCCCTTTTTGCCATCGACTCTACCCTGCATGATGACCTGCAGAAGACTATATTTATTATTTCTTAGTATGTGTCCAAGGTATGCAGTCTTGCATACTTGTATCGTTCTCATCAATTTTTTGACTCGACCCATTCTTCTCAGCACTTCCTCATTGGTGACCCTGGCAGTCCATGGAATTCTCAACATTATCCGGTGTATCCAAAGTTCAAAGGCTTCAATATTTTTAACTATTTGCGCTTTTAGTGTCCATGTTTCTACCCCGTACAATAATTGCGACCAGACGTAACATTCAACAAACCTCAGTCTCAGCGCAATATTCAGATTTTTGTCAGAGAACAATTGTTTGAATTTTAAGAACGCTGCCCTTGCCATTTCTATTCGTACCCGGATCTCTTGGTCTGGATCTAATTCTGTGTTGATGTAAACTCCCAGATATTTATATTTTGTCACTCTATCTATTTGCTGTCCACCAAGAGTTAGTTGTTCATTATTTATTGGACTCCTTGATACTATCATAAATTTGGTCTTATCTGTGTTGATGTCAAGTCCCATTTGAATGCATTCACTATTTATTGCATCTAGTAAAGTTTGTAGATCTTCTATACTCTCCATAATTACCGTGTCATCTGCAAATCTCATGGTGTTTATGATTTCCTCCACCAATCTTATTCCCTCTTTTCTTTCCCATAAGGCTTTTCTGAATATGACCTGTGAGTACAACGTTGAAAAGCGTCGGAGACAAGACGCATCCTTGCCTAACCCCTCTCGCAATCGGTATATTATTTGTTTCTATATTCGTACCGGTGAAGTGAAGTTTCTATATCGTTCGCACTTAAGGACTACTTAATAATTAATAAATAATGGGCGTCCCAAAATTCAGGCAGTATTTGAATGTGCCGCCATTTGTTCAGTAAAATTTGAACACAAAAAAAACAGTTTGACAGCTGACACTTAAGGGTTCTTTAAAGTGACATTTTTCATGGTTCTTTCATTTCATATATTTTGCTATCCTTATTTAGATTGCTTCTGGTATATTGTAAACTTGTTAATATTATTTCGTCACATCTTGTTTTTTTATTGTTACCCTTTTTATACACTAGAATTAATGCCCAGTTCCATATTCGTCTGCATTTTTCCCATCAGTAATCTTTCCAAAAAGTTTCGTTAGTTCAATAACAATATCCTCATCTTTTTTAGTACTTTTCCTTTTTCGTACACAGAGTAACTTTCTTTTTCCGATTCAATTTACTATCCACTAAATTATGAAGAAAAATTATAAATTTTACGGTGCTTCCCAGCGACCTCAAATACCATTGTACTTTTCCTATTTCTCGACATTTTCGAACGACTAAAAGAAGTCTGTATTTATTGAAATTCAACCGGAAACTGAGCTTTTCCTTGACCCAAAAAGTTTCCATTTCATTCTATAGACTATGGTCGATACACGCTGTTACCACATATTCTACACAGTAGTGTACCAGCCCAACTATCGGCTGTCTAGAAGTATAAACCTTAATTTAATCTTAAACGTGAATACTAAATCTTATTTATAAAAAATATTTTTAACCTTACATTTTGAGTTATATGAGTAAGAACACAATGGCCTCAGGCGTAGTTTCCTTTTTTTTTTCTACTTATTATTTACTTATTCCTTTTGCTATCAGCTGCAACTACAGTCATAACTTTATTTGCCACTTTTGTTATAATTTCATTTTATTTTTCTTCGGCTGGTTGGCGTTGGCGATCATTCTGGCTAAGATGATTTTGTTGGTTGCTATACGAAATAGCTGTGTTAAGGTCTTTCTATACCATGCTCTCAGGTTAGCAAGCCAGGATATTCTTCTTCGTCCTGGGGCTCTTTTTCCTTCAATTTTACCCTGCAAAATGCATTGGAGTAGCTCGTATCTGCCTTGATTTCTCATTATATGTTCCAAGTACTCCAGCTTACGGCTCTTCACGATGTTGACCAAATCCGCGGTTGTGTTCATCCTCCGGAGTACTTCTTCATTGGTGACTTTGTCTGTCCATGGTATCTTCAGGATTCTTCTGTATAACCATAGCTCAAAAGCCTGAAGTTTTGATAGACTTTCCGCCTTCAATGTCCACGTTTCTACGCCATACAGAAGCACTGAGTACACGTTACATTTAAGGAGCCTTATTTGTGTTTTCAGGATGAAGTCTTATTCCATCTGTTTCGAATACAATTATAGTACGTACGTTTTAAATTTAGTAATATTTCCTCCTCGATAATGTTAATTCTATTATTGAATCATGTATTCCTTGCTAATTTACAATTCTAGATAACTTCAATGTCGATTTCATTAGTCAGATGTATTTTGGACGTTCGCAAAAAACTTAAAGCATTTTAGTATTTATTTTAAGATGCCCGAAGCTGACAATTCGTCATCTCAATAGAATGGAGCTCTTTTATGGAGAGTTAAGTTGCAGATTATTTAGCAGAGAACCTAAAACAGTCAACCACATCTTACTTGACTAAGAGGAACTCGATTGCCGTCGGCAAGCCTTTTGGAAACTACCATGTTACTTAAAATCATGTTGTTACGTTTTTCTGTGGATTCAGAGATTAAGTGAAGTTCGGCGAACTTTATTTAACTCCAAAAACTCACTAAAAATAAATATCACAAATTCTAATTACAATTCGCATTGATATCGCTTACGAAACAATTCGCCAATAATAATAATCAAAGGCCACCTCAGCGGGCTTATATAAGAACTAAATTTTCTGGAACAGCTTTACCAGGCGACGAGAATATTCCCGCATCGATAGAAACGGTGCGTGGAATATTTCCGGCGGTAAAGAGAAAATTATCGACTTCGCTAAAGCCCAGGGCTGCAATTAGGGTATGTGACACAACAGTGTGGTAAATAGATATGCACTAGGCCAATTGGCAGCAATATGACCGGTTTAAAATACAACTGCTTTCGAAAAACGTCATCACCATTGTCAACTTCTGTAAGGGAAGAGACATTTAACAATATACAAGGTGCTAAGATTATAAAGACGATTTAATGCCATCACGGATCAAATTACACGCTTATTAAAAAACTATTTAGAAAATCATAGCTTCCGAAGAAGATTATAAACTTTAAAACAACTTTTCCAAAAAAATAGAAATTTTATGAAATATTTTCCTGAATTTTTAGATTTCTCTATTAATTATCTGGAATATTACAAGCCGGATCTGTTTTTACCCAACAATTTATACAATAGCAAGCGACTGTGATCATCGAGGTGTATTTCACTGGAGTGTTTATAATAATCAGGACACTTCTTCAAAAGTTTCGAAACATTACGTGGGAAACATTGAGATCTCTTATATAATTTATGTAATCAATATACCTTTTTTATAGCCTATCAGTAGGTCAGTAGCTATGACCGTGAAAAATTACGTATATATTGGTTCTGAACATGAAAGAATTTTAAGTTGAATTATTTTTATTTATTTTGAATTATACATTATTACTATTTTTGCACGGAATTGACGAGATGCTCGATTTTATGCTCACAGCGTTGCCGCGACCGGCGTATAAATAGTCGAAAATAGGGAAATTATTAATTTTTCCACCGTGAAAATGAAAACGAAAAAATGTCTCCAGATATTTTTATAGCCTTTTTTCTTTTTAACTTTCGTTTAACATTACTTCTGAGAACCAGATGTTACTAATTTGACATTTTGTACGTAAAAATACATAATCACTTATTTTTTTCTAAAAAAAGGTTTTTGTAATGTTAAGTAAATGTTTTTTTGACATGTAATGTTATTAATATGTACTCATAGGTAAATAGACTGTGCATTTGAGATATGTACTGAAATTTATAGGAATATTAAGCTTTAATCAAAATCACGTGTTAAAAATGTTTTAAATCAAAATTTCTTCTATATATTTACCAAAAATACGTTAGATTTACCTATTTTTTTCTTTTCAGTTGATAAGGAACAAAACAACTATAATCAACTCCACCAACTACTGTCACGACAAAGGACCGACCTGCAACATCCTAGTTTATGCGAATATGGAAGACGAAAATCTGTTTACCCAACTACAACTGGTACGTAGCTGCTTTTAACACGAACATCTAAATATTAATACTGCCACATCTCTTTTCGAGCCTACATAACAGGCTTGTGCTTAATTTTTGGGGAAATCTTTCGAAATACACAATCCTTAAATCCATACGGGTAGTGTGTACATTGAAACCGTATATTTTGGTCATCGGGGCTTGAGAGTTGACACAATACGGGGTAATACAATGCGTACAGCTGTCCTCAAAGCCTCAATTCAAATGAGACAACCCTTTGAAGTTGCACAACAAAAATATTAAGTCGCACCTTTTTGTTTGAACAAGGAAGAATGCCACAAGATCAATATTGTTTCTTTGAATGTATGTAGATAATCTTATTTCATCTGAGACCTTAAGAAGTCTTACAGTTTTATAAAGTCGTTTCGTGTGGTTAAGGTTATGAGCTTTGACAATAATAGCGTTTACAGTGTTTAATTTCTGTTACGAAATCGGTTAATCAATCGTCTGCTTATATAAAACAGAATAAAAACTGAAATTAAGAAATCAATGGCTAAAAACTTTTTAAAAATGTTTGTTTGAAATTTTTATGATTAACTCCATTCAATTATTATTCTCCAAAGTTCGTTTTATAAAAATCAAAGCTTAATCGTGAGCTTGCTACATAGCAACTCCCTATATTTTGATCTGATATTTCGTGTTAATGGTGGAAAAAATGTCCAAAACGTGGAAGTTTGTTTTGTGTTTATACAACTACAAACGAAACCGACAGTTCCAGGGCTTCTGGAAGTATTTTATTGGGGCAAATATTACATATTTTTTGTTTGCTTGTGTTTTTTCCAAAAATAATCATCGCCAACCATTATTTTGAAGAAAATTTAACTCATCATATTAGATTGAGTATGTAGACTTCTTTAAATAGTTACTTGAACTTTGCCAACTTTTTTAACGGCTGCCCTGTCTCCGACCCAGTTTCCATTCCATCCTCTGTCCAATTTCTTGCCGCCATAGCCGCATTTACTTCGTCTCTCCAACTTCGTCGTGGTCGACTTCTTTTCCTGCATTCTGCAGGTATCCATTCCAAGATTTCCTGGACCAACTATCCCCTGTCATTCTTTTAACATGACCAAACCAAGTCAATTGTCTTCTTGTCTTCTTACAATCTCTTTTTGTATATTTTTGTCCCTATCCATTTTATTTCTTATATATTTTCATGTCGAATTCTCTCTAATTAACTCTTCTTCATAAAATACATTTCGGTTGCGAAGATCCTTTTCTGTCACCCTTTGTTACATCTCAAACTTTGAAACCTTAAAGAGTAATACTTTCAACTATCCTTTTATAAATGTAAAATGAATAAACGAAAAAGAAAAGTAGTTTTCTATGGAGCTATGGTCAAATGTATAAAGTACCACTACTAAAGAGTGATCCCATTGGTGAAAAATACAAAAAATTTCCTTTTAAAGTTATAAAAACTTCGACAGTTCTCCAAAAAAGATCTAAAAGACAGCACATTAGATTCAACAAAAATACATCAAAACAGTGTATTCGTGGTACGGGTGTAATACTCGACCATCTAGATGTAGTTGAAGGGGCAGACAGAATATTCTGCCGCCGGTAGTTCATTTTTTTTCAGGGCGTTTTTACAAGCAGCTAATGGAGCGAGTGCATCGAGTACACTGAGCTAGTTTACGATCTATCTCCGATGTTGTTATCTAGATAGTTACATTTATTTTGCCAAGCACTGTTTTTCTTCTTGAGTACTTCTTGTTTAACTTTTTTATTCATTTGCTTGTATTTTTCTACTGTTGATTCGCATCTGTTTTCAATGAACTCTTTCTAATATTCTTTATTTTGCTTAATCATTTCTTTAATGCCTTTGTCCCATCAGTACGGTTTATCAGCATTTTTGTGTTTTCTTACTAGGCCTTCTTCTTTCTTGCAGTATATAAAGTCTCACATAAGGTTTTCTATCTTTTTATCATCATTTTGACTCTATAGCAACTGGAGGGACTCGAATTATTCTTTGTTTTCTGAATTAAATATTAAACCTGGGAGCTTTCGTGATCTGTATTACTGCGTAGAGCCCATGTCTATTACTGAACATGTCTAACCTCATGGAGAATTTCAATTGATTCTGAAATATATAGACTAATTTGGTGGCATTTGCTTGCTGGTGATAGTATAGTTTTTGTATAATTCTTTCTCGAAGTCTATCATCATCCAGCCTCAAAAGTCCACTGCTGAACATAGGTCCCTTCTGCGTGTTTCCAACCCCGTCTATCTTGTGCCACTCTCATCCAGTCTATAAAGCACATGTATACAATATGAATGAAATCTCTACACCTCGGAACCAGTACTTGCATTTATTAAAATAATTTCTTCCATCCTTACATCTTTCCATTTTTTTAGTTCGGTACTTCCAATAGTGTAATATAAGATTTTACATATTCCAATCATTTCTATTTTGGTGTTACTCGTTTTTCATTAGAATCCAGAGAAGCAACGCCATCACTGGACTTTTTTTCACCATTTTCAACTGATTATATAATTCCATCACCTCTCCATTCGTTCTTCTTCTCCATATGTCGTTATTTTTGGTCCCACCGTTATCCTGTGTACCATTTCTCTTTCTGATTTTTGTATTAATTCAGGTTTCAATGCCATTCATTACATATATGATTTAATTACTCTTCTGTAGATTGTCATCTTGATTTTTTTTTAGCCTTTGACTTAGCGTCACCAGTTTACTTAATGTTTCCATAGCTTAACTTTATTTTGCAATTCTTTTCTTTATTTCAATATCCATCAGCCTTTTTTGTTACTGCCACTTCCAGGTACTGCAACAGAGTTGTTCATATTTCGAGTTATTTACTCTTATCTTCATTTATGTAATGTCAAACTTGTTCTTGATTATATTTGATTGCATATCTAAAGCTTAGAGCTCTATTTTTAATATTGTGAATAAATTATAACATTGGTAATAACGTTAACATTAGCCCTTGCAATAACGTTAGTCTTATTTTTATTTCTGCAAAGTCCAAAGTGCTTCCTTCTTGATTTGGTTTTTCTAAAATTCTAAGCTCTATGTTTAATCGTATGATTAATACTATTAAGTTGGTAACTATATCATATTTTTATTGCCATACCTGAGCAGATTGATTTGAGTACTAATCTTTGTTCAGTACTAGTTTTCAACTTTTGTTCAAGATAAAATGAAATTTATTTTATCTTCTCTTTTATTAACAATTCAAAATTAATTTTTTTAATTACTTTATTTCATTAAGAATAATATTTTACAAAGTCTTCGGTTAAAATATTTTTCAACGGTTACTGTAGATTTCTCAAATTACAATGTATAATGTCTATCAAAAATTCACCACGTTTTTAACGGATAGTAAGAAACTACTTTCCCACAGGGTATTTATCTAGTTTTAAGGGTTGTATCATCAAACCAGACATCCCTTTGCTTGACCACTGGTCAACTAGGATATTAAAAAAGTTCCTGTTCGAAACTTATAAGCGGTTATTTAGAAACTAGTTTTGGTCTTAGTTTGATGTAATTTTTCCGATAGGGCCTTTTAGCTTCTTTGTATTGTAATTTTTGGAGACGACCATCCCTCTCTGTATATGAAGGGTGCATTTTTGTTGTATAATTTTTCACTTAAAAATGTTCAAAAACGTCTATCGGGGTTCTTTGATGAATAGGGGGACGAGCAACAAAAATGCGTAATACGCAATGTTGTATTTGCAATCTGTTACTGGTTAATACTTGATAAACCCGATTTTACAGGTAAAAATTTGCGTTTTTATGATTATTACTTTAGAGAACGGGTTCTCAAAGAACTGTCATGTGAATTCGAGAGGAGGAAGTGGCTAAATTAAGGATAAGTAACACCAGATACACCACATGGTACAAATAAAGTTTATTGATTATAAACTTGATTACACAGGCCAACGATGAAAAAACTTTTTCACTAAAAATACCCTATTCTAATGTCTTTCAGGTCGCTGAATCCAAATATGATGCTTACAAAGCTGTATCACCCACAATTTCTTCACATTTTGTAGTAACATGTTTTTAATTAAGCGATTTCTACAGAATTTAACATATACTATAATAGTTTAAATATAATCAAAAAAGTAGAGGTAATGGACTTAAATTGTGTTGGTAGCACTGCTGAAACATACTAAAAGATCAAAAAAGGTAGATTCCATTTGAACGTTAACAGCTGATGTTTGTTTACTGTCAATCTAACCTCACTTTCACGGTTTTTGTACACGTGCTCAACACAATGTCTAACCGCGGTTGTAAAAACTCTGTTGACAGTTTTTGTTCTATTTGTGGTGAGTTTGTGATTAAAAAACACCAAAGAAACATTACGGACTTTGTGAAAAAGGTTTATCGATCATACTTTGGAACTTTACTTGGCGATCAGGATAAATCTTGGGCGCCGCATAAGGTATGTTATGTATGTGTTGAAGATCTAAGAAAATGGTCAAAAAAGGAGAAAAAATCCTTCAAATTTGCAGTTCCTATGATATGGAGAGAGCAAAGAAATCATTCTGATGATTGTTACTTTTGTAGTGTTGATGTAACTGGTCACAACTCAAAAAATAAGAAGGTAATAAGCTACCCTAACCTTATGTCTGCCATCCGACCAGTGAAACACGGTCAAGATATACCGGTCCCTGAACCTCCAGATGATTTGGATTCCATTCAAACTGAACCATCTTATGATGTAGAATCTGAGTTAGGTGAACAAGACGATGAAGAATTTCGATGTATTACAGAAAATGTAGAGCCTAAATTGTTTACTCAGATTGAACCTAATGACTTGGTTAGGGATCTAGGCTTAACTAAAGAAAAAGCTGAATTGCTTGGCTTTAGACTAAAAGAAAAGAACTTGTTGGGTGCTGGAACCAGCATTTATGTGTATAGAAAGAGAGAGCAACAATTTTCAAAATTTTTTGAACAAGATGGTGATTTGGTGTACTGTACAGACATTCCAGGTCTGATGAATGAATTT